GCGTAAGACTAGGTACTGAGGAACTGGGACTCTTTTCTGTCCCTCTCCTTAACACACTTTGAAAGTCACTGCTACTAAATTTTTTAAAGGAATCATGGCTCTTAGGTGCCTTCCAAGTTTAACTTTCCAGCTTAAGATATCCAAGATGTGACTTTCAGAAGTGCTGTGCACTAACTAAAAAATCTCATTTTCCCCTCTAGTCCCACCTTGGAATTACTCCTCATTAGTCTTGCATGGATTTTCACCAGCATCTTCTGTGCCACAATCCTGTTTACTGCTCCCACCCAACACTTTCTTATATTGGCAATACAACCTGAAATCTCAGCAGAGCCTGCTCTCCCCTGATCCAAATTGCCAGCAGGTCTCAAAAGTTTTTTCTAGCATCTTCCTGTTTCAGAATATGTCCTAATGCTGCTGGCAACAGAACAAGTGAGACTTGGAACTTCCCTTGAGTGCTAATCACAACTTACAGTTGCCTCATTGCAACTTCTCTCACTTCTCTGACATCCCATTTTAATTCCGCTGTGTAAAACCTTAGCATGCCTTTCTGTTTCCTTCTGTGGAGGCACACATGCACACTTATGCAAAGCCTTATGTCAAAAGAGACTACAAAGTTAATGCTCAGTTAGGCTATGTGGGAATTAGCATTGCTTCTGCAGCTGTAATTTGCCCCCTTTGGTGTGTCTACATTGTGGTTCAATTTTTAATTATGTGATTCCATGTTATTTTTCTGTAAGACTTCTTCCATCCATCACCAGTGTATACTGTGCCCCACGGATGAAGCAAGGTGAGGTATTGAAAGAAGCTGTTGTAGAAACTGGAAGGTGCATAGAGAACAAAGACACCATTGGAAGAAGAATGTTCTACAAGCTAAAGTTGAATGCTACACTGGAGAATTAAATTCCATCCTTTTCTTTGCCAAATAATTCCTATGTGATTCTAGAAAAGCCATGTACAGCTGCAAACTGAAGTCAGTGGTTTAGCTTTTAATGGTAATGTGATCTATAAAATTAAGTGCTTTATAAAAAGTCTAATCCCAGACATCTCAGCTTGGACACCAAAACAACCTTACCTTAACCTTAGTCTTTGTGTCTCAAGTTTTCATTTAGAAAATGCAGAGAATAGCTGTCCCTTACGTCAGCCAGCAATGTGAAAGTAAGTTGAGTTTGGTTTTTGGGGTTTTTGGGTTTTGTTTTGGTTGGGGTTTTTTTTTTGTTTGGTTTGTTGGTTGGTTTGTTTTTTTGGGTTTTTTTAAGTCTTTTACTGTAGTGGTGATGTCATAAAACAACTGAATAAATTTTAGTAATTTTCTCCTCTGAGCAAAGCTCAAATAGCATGAAGTGATAGGATGCAGATCTGCCATCGAGTAATGAGGGTATAACAAAATACTAAAGTCACATGCTTAATGAGTACCGCTAACCCTCTGTGAAAAAATAGTATGTGTTCACATTGTTACAGACTGTATAATACTGCATGTACAGAAAGAAAACTGCAATTGTATGAAAATCCTGAAATCTGTTCTTCCAAAATAAGTGCTTGATTTAAAGTATAAAAATGGTCTTTATGTGATGAAGGAGGTAGAGGAAAACAGAGGGTTATACTTGAGTCATTGACTTAGTTTTTAACAAAGCATTCTGGAAAAAAAAAAGGAATCCAAATTTCACCATGTGGTATCACAAGGCTCATCAGCAGAGTTGCTATAATTAGATCCACAGCACAGTCCTCTGCCACTTGTGCTAATGAAGTGTTTGGTAACAGTAGTAGTACACAGTCAGCTTTTACAGTAACTGACCCTACGGAGGAAGCAGGGTAAGCACTGTACTACTTACGTTTTAGTCAGGCTTAACTCCAACTGTTGCGAGGGCTTGATGAGAGCAGAGCAGAGACTCTTTTCTGGTATCTGACTCTACCCTAACCAGGAGCTGTAATTTCAGGTAGTATCTTATTTAATCTCGCAGCCCAGCAAGGTGATATGCTTGCTCTGGAGGGCTGGCTCCTGCACAGTCCAGTCATGCATTGGGGCTGGCCCACAGCCTCACCAAAAATAGCTTTTGCTGATGTCAGAGAACTGTTCAATCTCTATAGAGTGTGTTCAAGAGAAGATTCCCAGACTTACAAAGATTTTTATGAAATAGGAAAAGTCACCTAACACAGGCAGGCCTTGCCTTATTTCAAGCTGTTGTGCCAAGTCAGATGCACAGGAGAAATAATTGTATTTGTGCTTAACATAACAGTTCTTCCTAATCTTGATGAGAAGTAGCTGAAATACTTTAGCTGAAGTTTTCAGACAAAAATCCAGCTGGAGACAAAGATTTGGCCTTGAAAACTTCAACCTAGATAGCCAAGATATAACAAAACTGAAAAGCAGGAGACAGAAAGGTATACTGAGTGTGCTTACAAGTGATGGGTGCCACCTGCAATGAGTTACTGCTATCAGAATTTTGCTGCTGAAATTATAGGGAACAACCCTTGTTTTCTAAGCTTCTGGCTCAGAAGGAAGACTCCACTTCTGCTGCAGCCCTTTGTAGAATTAATTCTGATTTTCTAGGCACTTTTCCTAGTTTAAAAAAGGGCTCGTGTGTTGGACTGAGATGCCTGACAAGACTTACATTTCTGTAAGCATTTACTGTAGCACTAGTTCTCTTCTAAATGATGCTCAACTGTCCTTGTATTGCTTCTCTCCTCCTAGCTGTAATCACTCTAAGCTTATCAACAGGCCTCTCAAATGGTCAAATGGGTGGTGTTCATAGGCTGAATGGAGAGATGCATCCATTTAAAACTTAGCAGCTAGATACTTGTTAACACCCTCACAAGAGTGCAGTTAAGAAACCCTAATACCCTGCAGTTACCGTTAAAACTGAAGATCTGCATTAGATAAAGGCATTATGAAAGCTTTGTAAAGGGTGGAGGTTTTGTGGTTAGAAAATTGAAATTTGTTGCTTGCTGCATGTTCGCTTTAGAGCACGCTCTGCCACTTCCAATTCTGCAGCTTGTCTGGACCTCTAGGGCTGCCTGTGACCCATCTTTCCTTACGTCTTGCTGTGGGCTCTAGTGTTTAGTGCCTCAAAAACTTCTGTTGTAGAAGAACTTCAGCTTTGATGCCCCAAATGCTGAATCCAGAAGTTCCATCTGATGCAATGAGAAAGTAAGCAGTGACCTGTCCCAGCCCAGCCTGCTAGGGAAGCAAGGCTAAATAAAAAATGATGGGTGAGAGCCTGGTGGGAGGGACAAGTCAGAGAAAGCAAACAGTTTGCTGCCTTTAGCTTGCTGGTAGCTTTCATCAGAGCTGGCTGAGGAGGGGGAGGTGGAGAACTGCCTCTGTGAAGAGAAGGAAGTGACAGCGTAGTCATTAGCAGACTGCGACCCTCTGTCACAGGGGCTCCTGAAATAAACGATGATTGTATTGAAGCATGAGGCTGGATAGAGACCTCTGTGCTAATTTAATAAATTGCTTGCATTTAGGACCCCAGATTGTTGCTGTTACATTTTTGCTATGTGATGCCACCTGGGATTAACAAGGAGGAGGGGATGGGGGGAGAGGAAGAAAGCAGCCCAGGTCCGTTAGCAACCGCTGGTGTGACCTCACTCCTTGTCCCAGGGGGGATATGAGATCATGAGAATGCCAGAGCTCTCTGAAGGATTCGATTTGTTCGGTACAGCAGGATGGCCTGCTGAGTGATCTCATCTCCGAGACCCTAGGGAAGGGCGCTAGCTGCTGCTAGCCTCGTGGACTGCGGAGAACTTAATCCCCACTCCAAATCTCACCAATTAATGATTGACCTGTGATGACATCACTGATGACAAAGCTAACTGGGACAACACAGCAAAACTCCAGGGGAATTTCCCCTTCTCCATGATCTTATCGAATAAAAGAATTTTGACATGTCAAAAACAAATCTTTCAGTCCAGATAATGTCATTGCAGATTAAGCATAGTTCTGGGCTCACAGCTTGCCCTGACCTACTGCCCTGTCACCAGTTCTCCCTTTTAAACAGCATGGGGCAGAACATAAACAGGTCCTCATTAAGACTGGGGGGCCTTAAATTAGATAGCCTTATTTAGCCAGCTTCTTAGCCCTAGTCTTAGGTGCTTTAAAATAGAAATTATGTGGTAAGAAAAATCCATTTCAGTTGTTGCACCTCATGGTTGTAGTAAGCCAGGAGGGAGTTTATGTTACCTTGCAGGTGTCCTTCAAGGAAGGAAAGCTTTCTAATTGGACTATACAACAGAATGGCAAGGACAGCTTTGGTGAAGGTTTACAAAGGATGTTGCCCATTCTTTAAACCTCTTTTGAGAGAGAAGTGTTTCAACCAGCATGCTTCCGCCCTCCCCTCCTTTTCTTCCTTAAGGGTCTCAGGAAGATTTGGTATCTGAGTTTAAAATGCCTTCAGATTTTTTTTCAGAGCCAGTCTTTTTATCTGTGTACTGTACAAGATCCAACACACACCTGGGTGGAAGGGGAAGGATGCTAGCAAATAAGTAATTAATTTGATTCTTCGGGGTGATCTAGAAAGTTGTCAGGAAGACCAATGTCACCTTACATTTAAATCTCTGTACCTTCAGAAGGGAGTATAGGATCAAAGAGACTTACCTTGCATTCCTTTTCTCATTATTAATAGTATCTACAATTTACATCATATTCATCCCTGTAAGTCTTAACCTCTGCTGCTAGCGTTCTGTAGCATTGCACAGATATGCAACAAGGTGTATATCCATAACCTGCCCTAAAAGTTTAAGATTCAAAAGTGTAGAATAGCTAGATAAATGACAGAGCAAGAGGAACACTAAGAAACAATGAAGTGATAGTTATCCTTTCTAGGCACCGAGTTAAATGGCTGCAAAGAAAGCTGCATCTCATGAGTACTGGTCTTTGTACCTTTTAACAGAGTGCCTAGGTGGAAGGCAAACACAAGTCCTATAAGCTTCAAGCCCTGCACCTGTTAAGTGCTCTTCTTTTGACTTCCTGATAGTAATCATGTATCACTTGTTTGTTTTTACAGGGAAAGTTTTATCTGGTTATTGAGGAGCTGAGCCAGCTCTTCCGCTCCCTTGTCCCCATCCAGCTATGGTATAAATACATCATGGGAGATGATCCATCCAGCAGCTACTTCCTAGGTGGGATCCTGATCATCCTGTATAGCCTCTGCAAGGCAAGTACCACCACATTAATAACCACTCTGGGAGCTGTAACAAGAGCAGAGAAAGAAGCACAGCTGAGGGGAACAAATACACCTTTTGATTGTTGCTATCACTACCCAGGAAGGGAAGCTGCAGCAGCTGGGGACACCATGTGCTTTAGTTGCCAAAAGCATTTTGCTTCACCAGTATGTGGGCATTGGTGAGCTCGAGGAAGATCTGTGACTGCTTGTGTAGTGTTGCATCAGGCTGATGAAGTCATTGCTGCTTTCTAATACCTTTCTATAAAGGCTAGAGGAGAATGGGAGGGGAATCTTGGGGAACTAGTACTGGAAGAGAAGTTAGCTGTCTCCAGGCTTCTAAATGCAACATTGAAAGGAAGGTTACAGTTAAAGGTTTCTCTCTAAGCCTTCCTCTGTCTTTCAGGGCAGGTACTCTGTCACTCATAGTACTGAATGCAGCAGGGAGAAGGAGGGTCACCCAAGTCCTGCCTAGATAAAACAGGTAGTTCTGGCCCCATTCTAGGTCCTGGTCTGGCTGATACAAGTCCAGGATCTCAGTGATAGACAAGAGTAATTAATGCTTCCTCAAGAATAAGAATGTTAAGAGCACAAAGTCTGCCTGTACAATTGTAAATGAATAGGTGCAACTTATTTAGAAGAGTCCCAAGTCTGAGGTCTAGAAATAGCTGTATTTCTAATTGTTTGTATTGAACCCTGCCTAGGGACAGAGCAGTAGCTGAAGCAAACAATGATACACCCCTGTTATCCATCCCTCTGAGAAAGGTCAAGTGAGTCAAGCTTGCTGCAGCCCTGATGCTTGTCTCTGCCTAGGAGAAAGGGGCTACAGCTTTGCAGAAGCAGGCTGAAGAATAGAGAAGACAGAATATATCTGAGCTGAACACAGCTCAAAGGGGCTAATGGATTGCTGAGCAATGTGAAATCATACTATAGCTCTTACGTGAGATGTGGCTGCAGTTGCAGCTATATGTTGTATAGGAATGGGGCAATTCAACCCCTGCTGTCAAGGGATTTACAGTTTTTGTAGGCAAGATAGGCAGAGGAAGTCACAGGAAGTGAAGTAACTTGGTCACAGCAGGTCTGTGATCAAGCCAGAAACAGAACAAACAGTGCCAGAATAGAAGACACATGAGACTAGTGTAGTTCCCGGCACACCCATCCATTTTCCCAGCTCTATGTTTCCTGCTCTTGACTCTGTGCTGTGGGAAAGGATTGTTGTCCCTTTCAAAGATATCATTGTCTGGATCCACTCTAGACAACAGTATCCAACCCTTCCATGCCCTTCTGGCTTGTGAGGTCAGATCACAATTACAAGGACAGATTTCACATGACCTTTGTGGTGTCCCTTCTTGCAAAAGTTACTCAACACCTGGAGAAGGGATGCTTACCTGCAGTTCTACATGCCATTTCTTACATCTGGAGAAGTCATTATAGTGTGAAGAAGCAGTGGGAGCCACCTACTCCTTGGAGAAAGGGGAGCCAAGCATAAAAACACAGCTGGCAGGGCAAGGGCCTCACCAGCCAGGGCCCAGCCCCACGGCACCCAAACAAGACAAGCAGGGCAGGGCAGGCCTGAACCCAGCCAGGTTCAAAGAGTCAAGATCTTCAGGTGGTGAGGCAGGTCCAAGATAAAGCCAGAGTATAAATCCACAGGTCAGGATCAGGTCTGGTGAAGGCAGCCAGGGTCAGACACAGTCCAACAATTGCAGGGCATAGTCATAGTGATGAGACAGGCTCAAGGTCAGGGTGGGAAGTCACTCCACGTGCTGGGGTGCCCAGATCAGCAGGATCTATAGCTAAGCACAGGCATGGCTACAGCTGAGCTAGAAACTAGCATTTGCACAGCACAGCTCAAACATGAACTGGGACCTCCAGGGCTGAGCTTAAATAGAGCTCCTGGGCCCATGGGCAGGGATTGTGGGTGGAGACCCCAGGTGAGGCTCCTCAGGGCCATGAAGGCCTATTAATGCACTCAGGGCCCTAACATATAGGTGCAAGCAGTTCTTTATGGGCTAGCTTGATGTTTCTCTACTATGAAGCCTTTATAGGTGGTGTTGTGATAATCTAGATTGGAAAGGCAACCTCATTTTGAAAAGTTCTGCCGATCTGTTATTTAGAAGCTCCATGAGGAGAGAAGGACTGCTATTTACTGGCCTTGACTGTAACTTAGGATGAGGACTGATAGAGCTCCGGGCCCATGGGCAGGGATTGTGGGTGGAGACCCCAGGTGAGGCTCCTCAGGGCCATGAAGGCCTATTAATGCACTCAGGGCCCTAACATATAGGTGCAAGCAGTTCTTTATGGGCTAGCTTGATGTTTCTCTACTATGAAGCCTTTATAGGTGGTGTTGTGATAATCTAGATTGGAAAGGCAACCTCATTTTGAAAAGTTCTGCCGATCTGTTATTTAGAAGCTCCATGAGGAGAGAAGGACTGCTATTTACTGGCCTTGACTGTAACTTAGGATGAGGACTGTGGGGCACGCTTGTGTGAAAGTGCCTTGGCTACAGCCTATGCCTTTAACATGCATGTTTCTTCCTTTAATTCATATAGTTCATTAGAGGTGTAAACGGATGGATAGGCCAGCTGAAGGGTGATAGGTCCAGGAACATGTCCCAGGTCATTGTGTGGCAACTACTTAGTACCACAGATCTGTCCAGGTTAGGATTAGACCTCTGCATGCTAGAGACTTTGCTTGGAAGTGAAAGAAAAGTGGGAGCACACTTCCAATACAGATCATGAAATACTAGGTGTGTGCATCCCATTTACAATCACAAGAGTTGCAGGTCTAATTCCTTGCCTGAGACACTGAAAATATACCCAAAGGAGTCCACATTAGCAAAGCCACAAACCACATTAGAAAAACCACAGAAGCCAATTTGGCACTCAGACCTTCTGTGCTCCTGGCAAAAATCCAGGGCTCAGCTAGGGCCGCATCCCCTTTCCCTACACAAAGGGCAGGCTCGACCTTCAGAAGGTTATATATAGTGCAGCTGATGGGAGCTGTCTTGGTGTCTCTGTCTGGACTGTGTAAACATGAACCTCTGATTTTGGCAAAGAAATTCCAGATGTTCATCAGTAAGGGCATCCAGGTCTTATTTTTTCCCTATCCTGAACAGAAGCACTCACTGTCTGTGAACCCAGTTGTTGCAATCATATTGCTAGAAAGATGACTGATGCAACATAGATTTCAGTGCATGGGGTGATAAATGGATGTTAGACTACTGAAACGTGCGTCTTTTGGGGGTACAGGAAACTCCAGAGGAAAAAAAATTGAAGGGGGGAAATGGACTGGGAGAAGAGGACACATGCCAGAGCAAAGGCATTAGAAGTCACGCTACAAGCAAAGCAACCAGAAAAAGCTGTGAATTGGACTGTGGAAAAGAGCTGATCCCTATCCTTGTTAGAAGAGAAAAAGTCTGTAGTACTCGGCAGCCTCAAGTGCTAGTTGCTGACTGGAAGCATTACTGGAAGGACCCTGGGAGCCTTTTTACGTGCTGACTGGAAGCATTATTGGTGCCTTCATTTGATTCCACATCTATTGCACGATGATCTCATTGGCATTCCCTGCAGTGAGCCCACTTAATCATGCTAACCCAAAAAAAAAATAGCCAACTCCAGGCATTCTGGTGCCTTTGTACCACTAGTCCACTACAGCTCTACATATTCTGCATCACATCTTCCCCTGCCCTCCTAGCCGCTTCTCACTCAGACAGATTAGAAATGGAAAGGTCCTGTTAGGTCATCTGGCCCTTCTCCCAACTAATGTAGGGCTGTTCTTTGCACTGTCATTTCTTCATATCTTGTCTAGTTCATAGTGTCTTTTTCCCTGTGTTCTGCCAGCAGATAGGGAAGATGAAGCTGGCATACCAGATTAGGTTTTCAAGCTGTTTTCCCTTTTATTAGTAGTACCGTGTTTTCACTTTAAGAATGCTGAGTGTCTCCTTTTTTGCTCAGCCCCTTGATATTTGTAGGCAGTTTATCATCTTTTCCCCCCACTTTTGTACTGCTCAGCCAAGCTGTAAATATTTATGTCTTTTAGTCTCTTTTCAGAAATCATTTTCTGCAGGCTCATTTTCTGCCCTTCTCTGAACTGCTTTTAGTCTTTAATGAGGAGCCCAGAACGAGCGCTGCTCTCCAGATGCAGTTACATCATGTTTGCTGGGCAATGGAGGGAGGGGGGAAGAAAAGGACCTAGCGTTGCCCCTGCTGTTGGCCATCTTTGGGTGTCTGCAAAGCACTGAGGTGCTGGAAACCCACTCCCTTCCTGGCATTTGAAGTTTCTCACTCTTTAGGCGGATGGGAGCAACTCAGCCTCAGTCCTGCTTCTCATTCCTCAGGCCGTTCTTCTCTTGGTAGCATTTAATCACTGCACTCCGCTAAATCACTCTCTGCAGCAGGACAGGCAATTCCCACTCCTTCTTTCATAATATCATCTGGGCCCTGAAGTGTCAAGCTGTGTGGCAGAGCCGCACAGCCCTGGAAATCCCCCTTTTCCCCAGAGACTGAGGAAAGCCGTTTTCTGCCTCTTCCATGTGAAAAAGCTGCCCTTCCTTCCCTCTCTCGCAAGCTAGCCACAGTGTTTTCTAACCTCACTTCTGGGCTTCTCAGGTACTCAGTACTCAGGGTGGAAATGGGTCCATTTTAGCCCTTTCCTACTTAGTGGGGCTGGGCAATTTACCCTACCACAACTCCCTGCTGTCTGCTCCTCTTTCTGTCCTGTAAAGCCCCTGATTTGCAGTCCATTGTTACCAGAGCTTTTTTGGCTACTCTTCTCCACTGTCAATTCACATTTATTACATATTTCATGATCACCATGAAATCTTTTTTGGCACCATTGTTACTTAGGATCTTTGTTCCCTCCAAGTATCCCTTTGGAGAAACTGTTTCCTGAGCTTCTGGACTGTACACACACACGCGCACGCACGCACACACATTTTGTGAAAAGTGTCTAAAATGGAACGTCTTTATTGCAGTCTTTTGACATCTGTGGTCGTGTGGGAAGTGTCCGGAAGGCACTGAAGGTCCTTTGCACCCCACAGGTAAGTAGTCATATGCATTAGACCAGTTTCATAGGTGGAACCTTGTTACCATTGAATGATGAAGTTGAAAATTGCTCAGTGTATCAGGATCATAGAATAAAATAATTTGTTGTCCCCTGGCTGGATAAGTTGGTATCTCTTGTCAGGGATGTTAGGAACCTTTTCTGATACCTGCCCTGTCCCAGCTGTGGTAAGACATTGTTGCTAGTCTGGCCTGTTTTGTCTGATTGGAAGCCCTGTGTAATATGGATTAATCCATTGAGGCCAAAACTGCAAGAAGCTGACAAAACTTTGTTAGTGCAGAGTGTGAGAAAGACTTTAAATAGAAGTATGTAGCGCCTGATGTGCAGTGACATTAAAAGAGATCCTACAGTGCACAGAAATTATCCCAGGCATAGCATTATGCAGTACTGATATTTAGATCTGTTGCAGTGAAATACTGTGACTTATATTTTAAAATGGTAAAATCAAAGACTGTAGAGGAAAGGAACATAACATCATGGAAGTTTGTTAGAGCTTGCCTTGCTTATTCTGTGGGCTTGGGCTGGTCATTTTTCCTCAGCATGTTTCCATTTCCCCTATTACTGTTACAACAGGAGAAGCAACATTTACCTTCCACATATTTAAAAAGAAAAGTGGGAAGCCTGTGGGTGCTGCTGCTGTTATTCTTTCTTCTATTGTCTAACTTGCTAATAATAATACCTCCCGCTATCTAAACACCTCTGCAAATGATGCTGAATTAATCCTTTCAGCTCCCTGTTGAGCTCATTAAATTTCATTATCATTGCTCCACAAGTGGAGGCACTAAAAGATGGAGTCAGCTTGAGGGGAAAACAAAACAGAGAACACAGAGCTCCAGACTCCCTGTGTTCTGTGTGCTGGTGCCCAAATCTCTCTTCCCTATACACAGTGACATAACACTGGTGTCCTTCCCAGGTCATGCAGGGAATCTGGGGGTGAAAAACAGTGTCTTATATATATGCTTAGCCACAAACCAGATTATCTTCAAACCCTTTGACATTCGGATTTTTTTCCATCTCTCCCTAACAGACCTATGGAGTTCGTGCTACCAGCCAGCAGTGCAGTGAGGCAGGTGACATCTGTGCCATTTGCCAAGCAGAATTCAGGGAACCTTTGATCCTTATGTGCCAGGTAAGACCCCAAGCTTCCCACATCAGGTTCCCCCATTGGCATTCATTTGGTTAACTTCTTCAGCTGGGGAGAGGCACAGTTAGCCTGAGTACTTCTAACATCATTTGCTGGGTCTTGATCTAGGTCCTAGTGGATATTTATTGCCCTCTTCCGGATACCAGTGATTCATGATAGCTGAGCCACTCTTTAGGGGCTGATCATTGAGATGGAAAAGACCAGCCTTGTAGTCCAGGGACTGCCAGTTGGCAGTGCAAACCTTGGATCTAGAATGCAAGACATTTTTATCTGACCCTTGGGGAGACTGGCTAGTCAATACGCCAACCGAATTACAAGCAAGTGCTATGAGAGGGGCACAGATCCAGAATGAGCCTGATAGGATGCATGAAGACTGGTGCAGCACCAGGTAATCATGGTCTGGCCTCTGAACACCTGGCCAGGAATAAAAGTAGTTCTGCATATAGAAGTTGGTCACCGCTGCCAGCACCTGGGAATTGTTTTGTTTCTCATTTGATAAACACTGGCAAAACCTAGAGCTTAAGAATGGCATGCTCTGAGTAATGCAGTAGTCCTAATCTGGTGCTGGTAAAACCCTTCGAACACACCACGCTGCCATGGGTTCTGTTAATATATCAGAGGCCAGCTGAAGGCATTGCCTCGTGGCAAGACTGGTGATGCTTCCCCAAGATTTTCTCTTCAGTTGCATATAACTCAGTCAAGCTTTGTCTGTTGGAGTTGAAATTCTGCATCCTGGAGGCTGTCTCTGGCTGATGTGTGGGTGCATGCAGGAAAACCTTAGGCAGAATGATTCAGCCATTTCTGGGAATGGAATTGGTGGGAAATACGCTCTCTCGTGATATCAAAATGAAGCTCAAGAGCCTTTTCCTGAAGAGCTTTAACATTCCCATGCTTCGTAACAGGGTTATCAGATTAAAGCAAGCAGGTCACCTGTGCATCAAAAGTGCCTCTTACTATTCCTGTGAACATCTGTGCAGATGTTATCAAGCTGTAAGCCCCAGAGAAGCCATCTTTGTATGTGCTTATCAGAGTGGAGATTTTGACGAGTAACATTTCTGCTGACTCCACACGTGTTGAGGAGGTCTCAGCTTCTTACAGCTTCTAATACTCCCTTCTTGCCCTATTCCTGCTCTTCCAGTCTGGGGTAGATGGGGTTGTGTGCTGGACAGCCGTCCCTCCTGATCTCTGTTAGTACCCAAGGCAGTCTGGAGGGAGAATCCTGTTGTGACTCAGTGTAGAAATGAGAGAAGAAGATAAGGGGTGAAAACTGCCATTTATAGAGAAAGGGAAATGGAGACCGCGGAGCTACTGGCTGGGACTGGGTGGTGTGAGCAGAAGAAAAACAAATGCAATAAGGACTAGGGGGAAGAAAGAGGGTTGTTTGAGCAAAGTAAAGACTTGTAAAATAACCCAGGGAATTGAGGATGGAAACAGGGTACAGGAAACCCTCTCAACTTTGTTAGCCCAAATGTCGTAGGCCTTTTTAATGTTTCTTTCTATTGCTATATTAAGAAACAGAGCTTTGGCAAACTGGTGTACCAGTAATGCTGGGATTTATTTTTCATGTCATGTGAGCACTGCTACTCAGCTGCACTGTCCACCTGAACTTGAATCGTTACTTGCTCCCATCACTGTCCTATTGAGTGTGCACACTTAGTGACAAGACTGGACCTCCTGCTCTCATTGTGATGATGCCCTTTTGTCTCCACAGCATGTGTTTTGTGAAGAATGCCTCTGCCTCTGGTTTGACAGGGAGAAAACCTGTCCTCTTTGTCGTTCTGTCACAGTAGAAACTCTGCGTTGCTGGAAAGATGGCACCACCTCTGCTCATTTCCAGGTGTATTAAAACCAATACGTACTGACAAATGGAATAACATGTGCGGAGAGAAGAAAAAGCTGGAAAACCTGGTGATCCCGTGCCCCTATTTAGTTGCCTGTGGATTTGTTGTCTTCGTCTTTCTTCCAGCTCTGTTTCTCCAGGAGCCAACAGAACAACAATTGTTACTAGCCAGAAACTTTGTCCTCAAAGGCAAGAAAGATGTGTTTTATGTTATGGCAAACTCCATGGCTAAGCTACAGCCGAGATTTTTTCTTGAATTTACATGGTTATAAACTGCCTGGGATGTTTCCTTTTTTTCTGTCCTTTTAGTATAGATAAATATTGTGTGTATAAGACAAGCGTACTGTGAATTGCATGTGTATAACCTGGTATACTGGAAACAAGCTGTCCTCCTCTGGCTCAAACCACTGGTGGGATTTTTCACATTAAATGGCCTTAGCTTCCCTGAATCCGTAACTTCATAGAATTACGCTGTTGCTGTTGTATTACCTTTGAGAACTCTTCCAAAACGGTGCTTCAGAACCACGTGCCCAAAGTTTATTTGGGGTTGGAGAAACATCATTTCCCAGCAGCTGTGTTTTTGCAACTGATTCCACAAATTGCACGTGTTGTCATCTTAATGAAATCTCAAGGAACTTGGGAAAGACTATGCTAGTGAAGCTGGAAATGACACTTGCTTTTCTTGGGAATGTTTTTCCTCTAAATTTTCATGATCAGGCTTTCTGATTTCCTAGTATATGGGGAGAACAGTGGGAGGCAGGGAGAGATTAAAGTCAAGTTTGATTTGTCTAGGTGAAAAGTTAAGGTCCTAACCAAGAGCATCTCACAAATTCAGGTGTCTTTGCAATATGCCCCTCAGTGGAGCCACTTGAGGCAAGGCTTACTGCCTTTAAAAACCAGTGCCACTGAGCATCCAGAACCTGCCTGGGTCCAAAACCAGAAAAAACATGCTCCCGCAGCACTGAGCCCATGTGCTGCTGTTGATACCAGAAATGCTGGGGCATCAGGATGCGGGGCCCCCTGGAGAGACGGGATTTAGTGAGACTTACTAGCTTGAAGGCAGAATTATACAGAAGCAGCTGCATTGCTTCAGGAGCCAGCCTGGTTTATACACAAGCTGGATAATCCACCTGTGATGGTGGCTTGTAACACCTCCGCTTCAGAAAAAGCTCTTCGAGGAGATACCTTGTATTGTTAACAGGAGAATTAACATACTTTATATTGCTGCAATTTCCATCTCTGCTGAGGGTGCTGCAGTGGCACTTGCATGCAAATGGAGTTGCTGTTTGTTTGCTGGAGCTTTCTCTTTCCCTGAACAACCTCTGCTTTTCGCTGCACACCCAGAGAAAGTGCCTCATTAGGCAATTGTGGCATCTTCCATGCTCATTACTATGGAAATGGCCGTAAGGTTACAATCCCACTTGAGTGGATAATCAGGAAGAACTGTACCTGGGGGAAATGAGCCTGTGTGTATGTACTGACTGCCGCCTTCCCCTCCTGCTGTGAAACTCCACAGGGAGAAGAATTAAAGCAAACAGGAGCTAATGGTAACAGGATTAAGGCTCAACATTTCTTTGGAAATAATAATTCGGTATGGCTAGAGGAGAAACGATGAGAAGCAGAGCCTGAGCAGGGAAGATAGTCCAAATCTGGCTTGAGAGATACAGGGAAGTAGAGGAGGAAAAGCTTTACTTTCCAAAACAAAGTGATTTGATTCTTGTCAAATGGATCCCATGAAAGTGGAGAGCTAAGCCAAGGAATCCAGTGGCTATCTCCAGTGGGAATAGCCGTTTTGGGATGGGGGAAGAGAGTTCAGTAAGGAAGGAAGCAAGGTTTTCAGTGGGCATAAAAATGTTGTTATGTACAATAGTCTGGTATATTCACCAGGAACAGGGAAAATTACCAATTCTGTGGGCAGGCCATTTATGAAAGGTTTCAGCGTCTGTTTTCAGTGCAATGCCAATTAATTAAAGGGTTGGTGGTATCTGCTTTCAAAATGTTTGAAAAGCCATTTCTAATTCTGATTTTTTTTCCTAAATGCTCCTGGAAAATGTATTTGGAGAAGTGTATGAAAAGGTCAATCTGAGCCTAAAACTACAGATAGCACTTGATACGCTGTTTCAGAATTACTATTTTTTATTTGGTGATAAGGAAGGAAGGTAATCAAGGGGAAAGAACAGGGAACATTTTTTGCCATTCTTATCGTCCTTTTTCTTTACTTTTTTTTTGCTTTATTGAATGACCTTTCCCAGTTGTCAGTGTAAGAGAGGGGACTATCATCATCATCATATACTTGAACCACTGCTACAGCCCAAGGGCTCAGGAAGATCACGCAGTTAAGACTTCATACCAGCACACAGCGGAAGAATTGCCACGTACCTCGGATGGTTTTGGTACCCATGTAAGAACCCCTGCACCAGCACCAAGATTTTCTAAAGGACTTCTAATGATTCATTTTTCTTTTGCTTCATCTCAGTGATCCCTTCTGGATTCTTGCTTTCCCTCACTATAAGGCAGCATTCTGGTCCCGGTACAGAAGCCTGGCTCCTCTGGTGGTGTGCTCAGAGGTATCCGACACCTGTGTGCAGGTAACCCATTGCAATTCTCCTTTGTCTCAACAGAAATCCAGGCGAGTTGCTGTTTGGGTAGCCTTTGAGACAGAAGGCTTCTGTTGCTGTTCAAATGGATACCTCAGTGACAAAATGCAGCACTGAGATCTGGGTGCCAGGGCTTCATTATGGGAAGAGCCTGCACCTGAGAGGGCATGGGTGCCCGAGATTCGGTGGGCCATCCAGTGCTCCACTTCTCTGCTAAAATTAATTAGTGCTGAATAGAAGGTGAAATTTTATGCTGTGGATATTTATTCTACTGGAAGCATAACAAAGATCGGCTTAATTCCTGCGAGGTTAAAGAATTTACTACAGGCCACTGTTACATAGCTGTTAAATTAAAACAACATCCTTCAGTCCCTATTCTTCTGGCCTGGATGCTGTGGAAGAAACAGCCCTGTGCCGTTAGCAGTCTGTCAAACCCTCCCTCCGCGGGTAAGTTAGGGTGGTGGTTTTGTAAGGCACCCTCTCCTAGAACGTGACATTTGGACCAGAAGACATACTGGGGAAACTTCAGTTCTAGTGACAACTGATGAGAAACTTCTGTTGATTTCCATGGGAAAACAGTTAGGGATGTGGAAAGAAATTATCCGCTCAAATTTCAGAGAGGAAATAAAAGCCGGAGCCTTTTTTCGCCATTGAACAGTTGTTTTTCTTTTTTTTAATAAAGTCATTATAAATATGTACAAAGAGTCTCAGCATATGAAATTCCTTTTACAAAAGAGAGAAGCCACATCCAACCATAAACAGGAGCCTTCAGGAACTCGTATCAGCAGTGAGCATATGCTTCGCTCTTGCTTTGGTGAGGGTGGAAACTTGCACAGTGACTCTGCAAGAGTTTGCATCCAAATAGTACTAAATCAGTAATGTGCAAGGAATTGTGTATTCACTGCATTTCATCTGGTTTATTCTGTTAGCAATGCATCAGGGAGCAGACTGGAAAATTTGCCAATGTCCTAAGGACTAAAGATGACGGGAAGATTTTTTCTTGTGATAAACTGTGGTCTTCAAATTGATTGGAAAGGTTATGCTGTGAATACCCGTGAAAACTAAATCCCATAGTAGTTGGTTTTGCTCTCTCCTTAGGTGGCATCTGTAACTAATAATGGATGTAACTAATAATGGCAGTTCAGTACCCAGATGCTTTCAGTGAATATTTGTCAAGCTCCAAAGTCACTTTCTGTAAATATTAAAAAACGTGTGAACAAGTACTCAAGTATTCATGCAGAGTGAACACTGAAGAAGTCTGATCGGAGTTACATGAAAATTCACCCTTGTATTCAAATAAATATTGTCAGAAAAAAATATTCACTTGTTTTGTAGTTTTAAATTTCTCTTGCAGATGGGGAATGGAAATGCTGCAGCTTTGACTGGAAGAGACAGCTTTTTCCCACAACTGCTACGGGCAGAGCTGTTTGGAAGACCTGCGTTTGGGAGTGCGTTTGGGGTGTATGCTGATAGAGATTCTCGTTACACAGCTGGCGCGTGATTCAAGCCAGTAGGATTGGCAGAGGGAAGAAGCACAGAAGTGTCTTACGCTGGGGACAGGGACATATGAGCAAAGACAGCCTTCCGAACGGAAAGGGCTTGCACAGTCGGACCGGGACAGAATTAGAAGACCAAGGTTGGAGCAGCATGCGAGGGTTCCTCTCCTCCATTCAGCCTAGCTGATACACTAGTGTTTTCCTAAGGAAGATCAAGTCCCATCTTATTTAGACTTCCCCAGGCTTTTGGATTTCGAATTAACATGACTGTGTCTCCTAACCTTTTGTACTAAGAGAGATGAACAAGTTCAGCTCAGCATACAGCAAGCTGTGCCTTGCAAATTGTTCTACAAGAATGCGGCTAATTTTGAAGCTTGGATTCAAAATCAAATTTGCTCTAAGCAAATTTGCCCCTAGAAAAGTTGTGAAGATACTGTTCACCTGTCATGGAGGTAGAATATAGCCAGGAGGTTTTGACACGGACAAAAAATGTGGGTCCAGGATTTAATTTGGGGCCACAGGTAGTTTGTTTTATATATATATCTCTCTCAAGACTTCTGTCAAGATCATGGACATACGTTTTAAAACCATTTGTAGGAAATTAAATATTGAGGTAGAAGTACTATTCTGTCCTCATCACGAACCATTTTGTACATGGTAGTGCAGTTTTTAGAAGGGAAAGATCTCCTTCAGTTTTGCTTCCCCATCCTCCATTGCCCCCCGCCAAAGTGAGACTCTCCTTTGCCTGCTGAACCTGTGAGGACTACAGTGAGAGCAGTATTGAACAAAACTGTTTCGTCTTACGAGGCAGCAGGGAAAAGCACCCACTTCCAAGGTGCACGTGGACATAGAAACTGCACCGGTTTAACCAAATCCGTTTGTAATCAGTGTCATTAGAAGGTACTGCTTCTGCGTTTGCAGTGGAGGTAAGGCCCTTGTAATCTTAGTATGATGTGGAAACAAAGCAAACTCACAAATCAGATTAAACTGATTTAACAAGTGTTTCTGATTTAAGTAAATTGCTTTAGTAATGGGCTTAGCTAAATTAGGGTGATTTCTGCATGCCTACATGCTCTAAAGCAGAGGTATGATGGGTTTCTCACTCCTCATCACTGACAACTCATTGATTTTGGTGGTTTGCTGTATGTTTTTATTGGGTGATGCCTCTCCTGGGCACATGAAAGTGTGTGACACAGGAGGCATTGCTGTTCCTGTACAATATAGGAGGTAGCACTGGTCCCATTCCATATTTTTTTACCTACTGAAAATAATTCTAAGAGAGAAGAGGAAGGAATCTGGAATTAATGGGCTAAATTCTGTCTTGGGTGTAACCCAGCCATCTGCAACCAGACAGCGGTGCTATCCTAGAATTAATTTGGCCAAAGGACTTACTTTAACAGGCAGGGGGAGAGAAGCTGATTAGTAGTCCACACTAGACTGCTTTTTTAACTTGAAATGTGAAGTTCCAATATGTGATGGGAGCTATCTTGGTGGAGTGCTGCTTTAAAAATTAATAAAGACTTTCCTCACAGCCACATTATGCGGCGTTCTATATAGACTATGATCTCATAACCTCCTCCTCTGGCTTGCACACGCACCGTCTGCTGAAACCTAAGATGAGGTCTTTTTTTTTTCATTTAGAGAGCACTCCCCGGTCTTCACGGAGGCGCAACTGCGAAGCTAATCAAAATCAATGACTTCTTGGCTGCTGTAAAAAAAAAAAAGAAAAAAGAAAAAAAAAAAAGGAGCAAGAGAGAGGAACTGTGCTGGTTTCCCACCCGTTAGTACGGTACAGAAACCCCCCACCATCTCACACAGCTGTTGCAATACAGTAAGAACAGCACTAGGGGAGTATACAGCATGCTTTCTTTTCCAATACAAACATCAACCAGGGTTAAATCAGGTATTTTAAAAAGGATAAAAACACCCCTTGTCAAAAAATGGAGGCATTCAAGAATAGCAATTATACCAGAAAATGTAAGGCTTTGACAAATACATACCCTCTAGTAAATGATTCGATTTATGTACAGGGAATGCTGGCTATAAAGTGCTGGTAAGCTGTTTCTCTAGCAAAGCTTGCTTGACCCAGCAACTAGTAGATGAAAGTCTCTAAAACTTAACCCTCGGTTCACACTAAACGTCCAATTTAGAACTACAAAAGTGAAGCAAATCAGGATTAAAGCAGGATTTGGGGTACCGGACCTGCTCTCGTTTACACCTGGGAAGCACCATAGCATTTGGTTGCTGTTTCATGAGAGTAACAACAGGCAGCACGTGTCTTCTGACATTTTTGCTGACTATTAGGAACCACCAAGGAGGATACCGCTCCCCTGGGACTTCTGGGGTTTTGGGTTTTTTACAGAAAAGCCTGTCCACGGCGGGGTAGGACTGAGGGAGATTAGCCAATCACTTTGCTACTGAGGTTGATCACTGATTCAAGAGGCTTTCCCAAGGTGAGGACGCTATGGTAAGGACAGAACTTTCTTTCGTTTTCCTTTGCTGTGCTGTTTCAGGGGAATTGCCTCTTTGGGAAAAATGCTACAAGAAGTCTCAAGGCTGCAGACCCAAATAGCCAGTGCGGCAGGAAAACCAATGGCAGTGCAAACCGTACGCACAGAAGATGGAAGGGAGAACGGAATAATGCATATTCCGGGTGAGAAGTTTCTTAAACATTCAGAACTCGGGAGCTAATAATTGTTACAGGCGAGGAATATGTGGGAGAGCCCTCTCTCTTGCACTGAGAAATGTAAGCCAGCTCCTACGCCGGATGGGTTGTCACAAGGCTGCCTCCGTGTACGTGGGGTACACACACAGGGTGAGGGCAGATTGTGTAGGGGTGGAGGGAAGACCTCCTGTGGGCTGCGTGGCCTGTATAGCAAAGTGACGCATCCAGTCTTCCCGATCAATTATTTTCTGTTCAAATTTGACTCGTGCAATACCGTACGCACAATTTCACTTCCTCGTTTGAGTAATTTGCAGACAGTTGTATTTTTAGGACTATGTCCGATCCAGCAGTCACTAATCCAGCACTTGCAACACTGCTGAAATCAGCTGAGGCTCCTCCTTTTGCTAGAAGAATTCTTACTTATCTCAGTAGGAGACTGAGTCGGGAAGGAGTACAGGATGCCGAGTGTTACTAAACATCAGGCCAAAAATGGTAGGAAAATGTTTTCTCGGTCCCTGTGGTTCTGAGGCCATCCAAACTCTATCCACAGACAAACTACACTTAGCTACACGATCCCTCCCAACACCGCACATAATATAAAGTAGGGCAAGGTTACTCATTAGGAACAATTTGCTCTTTCAGCATAGCCCTTTCTGCTGTTTGTGAATTGACTTGGATCAATAACACCCATGGATATGTGTGCAGGGGCCCAAAACACATTGGTGAATATTTGATAAAGGGAGAATTCAGCTTTTAGATTGCTTAGAAACATTTCTCCTGCAGTAGTGAAAAATGCAAGGTCTGACTGGGACACAGTGACCACCCAGCTTGTTCCTTGACTGGGCGAGGGTTAGGAAGTATTTAAAAGACAAGGAGCCAAACTTCCTTTGGAAATCGGGCTCTTAACGTTCCTTTATGCCTTTGAAAATCCCCCCCTGCCATGAGAGGAACAATTTTCTGGTGCAAATATCTGAAGCTGGGAAAAACGTTTCTAAAAAACTGTGCATAACAATTACTGTAAATAGCATCTGGAAGGTATCCTGAATGTGACAGGTAGTTTTGGCTGCAAGAAAAAAAGCACTCAGTACTAGACTGAAAAAAGCCCTTTGACTTCCAAGGAGAAGTTCTCCTGGTATCCCCTAGCCTATTGATTGGTCTAGAAACCAACCAGCTCTTCCCTGGTTCACAGGATTTGAGACTGCTTAAATCACCATCCAGGAGAACACCCAGCTCCGGGACTGCAGGAGACTCTGCACTAGCAGGCTTTGACATGCACACTGCAGTGAAAAGAGCTGGTGTGTCTTTGCCACCTCGGTGAATGCTGCTTCCCAAGCTCCGAACCGCCAAAAGAAAAAGAACTGCCCCAAGGAAAATTAGTTTTATAAAGTTCTGGGCTAGATTATTTGTTTTGTCTTAATTTATGCAGAGATTGAAAGAAAGAAAAAAATAGCACCTTCTCAACAAGTATTTTTTTTTGCTATCTTGTGTATAAATATTAATAACCAAAATAGATTTCTCCTTGTCCCATGTTTCAGAACATCCTCTTGGGGAAACTGTAGCACCACAAAGAGGCAGTTTAGCCCCAGACAAATATTAAATGTAGCACCAGAGAAACTAAAGTCATAAGAAAAGCTTATCTCACCTGGTGCTATAGCGCTTAATATATACACACACAAACTGTCTGTTGTCCAAGCTGCTAAGCACCTGTTCCCCACCACCACGGCTAGGACATGCCCATTTTGCAGCAAGTTTGGTCTCTCAAGATATTACTTAACTCTGGATGTAGAGATTATTTTTCATCCTGCTGCACTGAAAGGAACGTTTACGTTGCCATAAACGAGGTGCAGTGGAGAAAATGCTAGCATTACAGCAAGGACATCACTAATCTTTTGACTCAGACTGCAGGAGCATGAATGCTCAGACCACCATCATCTACAAGGAACGTTGCTTACGTTCTCAACAAGGCATGCACGTTTTAACGTATGCATACAGGAGGGTTTACATTCTTCTATATATAAGCATGTATGTGTCTCTGTTTTGCTGCTGGGCCCTTGAACAGCTCCTTCCGTGCAAATCCTTCTTCACGTTGCCCAAAGCACTTCCAACATCTTCCACTTCTTTCTTTATCTCCACTCTTCACAGCTGCTGCTCAGGCTCTGGATTCCCTGTAGGAAAAGGGGAAACAATTTTCTCCAAGGGCACAGGGTTTTCTCCAGCCTAAGAAAGCAAAAGAATTGTGTTTGGGTTTAATTATATTGATGCATCGGTTACAATAAAAGCTTCTTTTAAATTTATGCTTGAACCCTCCTGCTAAATTTACTGACAAGAAGAGTTATATAATTTATGGGGATGCTGGTTTTGTGGTTCAACACAAGAGATTACGCCTTTATCCCTGTGCTACTGCAGGATTTCTGGTGAGCTCTCATTTTGCAAGGCTCGTTCTTTCGGGTGCTCCATCTTCATTTACATCACGTTAACAAAAACGCTAACTTTTAGGGAAGCCATTAATTTTGTTACAGGTAGGCAATGGGGTGCAGGAGTATCACAGGAGACTGGAAGAACTCACTCATTCCTGGTTCTGCCACTGATTAGATTTGTGGCCTTGGGCAAACCACTTCTTTCAGTTGCTGCTGTAAAATGAGGGCAGTAATAACTTATTTGCCTCATAGGCGGGCTGCAAGCCTTAATTAATAAAGTGCTCAGAGAAAGGCACCTATCTAAGTGCAAATTAGCAGGAGAGGTGCCCAAGGGGCATCTACTCTGAAATTCCCATTTCCCGCATTTATACCTAGGCTTGTTGATACCAGCGTTGGCTGGGGCAGATCCCATCTTTCAGACTGTGTTGTCTAGCTCGCAGAGACTGTGACAATGAGTGATCTTATAAAAACCTCAGTGGAGAAATCTCTGCTGGCCCTCTGGATGAGGTGATTTCACCCGGGTGGGAGAAAGGAGGGGGGGAGTAGCTGACTATGCAACTGCATCGGCTATGAAGTCAGAGTGTAATTAGGGCTGGCAAACAGCTTTGGGGCAGATTCTGATCTGATGTAAACCCACAATCACTCCCTTCCTTCTGTAGTACTACCCTGTTTATGCCAGCAGGAAGGTTATCACGATTCAGTGGCGCTGCCTCTGAGATGAACTGAAACCTCCACTGTGAGGGAAGCGGGCAAATTCTGGCGCTGCGATGGACTGAGTAACCTAGAACTAGTCTCCAGTTCAGCCTCATAAGATTTAAGCGTATCTGCTTTATCCCAGTTACTGTCAGCTGCTCCAGCTGCTGCTGCGCACAGGATGTGGCAATTACAACCTCTCCCTCCCTCAGTTTACAGTCTCGCTTTCCAGTTTTGAGAAATCTGAAGCAACAGTGAAAATAGCTTGAAGGACTAAAGCCAGAATGAATCATCTAGACTTGAAGCACGTTTTCATTTGTCTTGCTGTGATCAAGGCTACCAGCTAGCCACACAGTTTCTATGGCTCCTGTATCTGCATGCACACAGACTTCCACATACACACCCGCTCTCTGGAAGTCCTGGAGGTATTTTAAGGGGTTTTTTGCAAAGCTACTTAGCTTTTTTGGCAGAAGGTAAATAGGAAAGGTGTTCACTACTTGAGAAAGTATGAACATGATAATACTGGCTACACAAAAAAGGCCAACAGAGCACAGACCGTCAATAAACAGCCCAGAGGTTGAAATGCGTCCCCCGTTCAGCCTCCCGGCCTGCATGCATGGGAGACGGCCCCTCCTGCAGCCCTGCGCTCCCACACAGGCCGCCTGGGATCTCAGCTTGCGCTTGCACGACTGCACCCACAGGTCTAGGCCAACGCTGAGCACAGACAGGCACCACGGCTTGCTCTAGACTTGTGAAAGGTCACAAGGAGGAGATTCTGGGCACCTGCGCTTCTCACACAAGATGTCTTTATGGAGAGGTCTTCAGAATTAACCCCATCAGCACCGTCGGGGTGGGAAAGCAGGGCACAGCCTGAGCTGACTGGAGGGTACTACTGAGAAACGGGGCTGGCGATACGGAGGAAGAGCCTGTG